TGATATTTCTGTTGAGATTTCTATTTTCAGGTCTCCAGTAGAACAAAGAACCAAAGATTTGGAAATCATGCATAAAGGAGACAATTCTTTCCAGTTTTCAAGACAGGGAAAAGTTTTACTATAACTAAAATGGATCTTATCTTTCCCAAAACAAGTATCACAAAATTTTTTCCTTTAAATGTGAGAGTTAGAAAGATTTCACTTTAGTCTCAGTTAAGATAGAGAAAAACTTTCCTAAGTACTTAGAACTTTTCTAAATGTTTCATGCACAAAGACAATTTGTGTAATTTTATTTTGGTTATACTGAAATACAATCTCAAATTTAACATACACAATTCTAAATGTGTTCTCTTGAGAGTGAAAGTAATTGGAAGATACTATAAATTAGACACAGAATGAATCAAAGAAATGATGAAGCTGCTATGTGAAACAGATCAAAGATATGCTGCCTCTACATTGGCAGTGCCAGACTGTGATACCCACAGACCTACGGACATTTCCCCCAAACACACAGGTCGTTCATATTGGAAAACACATATGGAAAAATATCTTATAAAGAACATTCGGAAGGCAGCCTTGCCTGTATTTAGGTTCTAACTCTGACACTCATTCACCCTAGAACTTTGTGCATATTTCCTTTAAGTTGTAGTTTTCTTATATAAAAAGTGGGTATAATAATAATCGCCTAGGGAATTTATGAGAATTAGATAATGTTTGTAAAGCACTTAAGCTAATGTCTAGCACATAGTATGAGCTTATGAAATGTAATTTATTTTTTCATTGTGCTCATGCTTGTTTGAGAGAGGAACACATGTGCTACCATAAATTAGCCAACTGTAGTCTGCCCGTTATCATCTCAGGACTGCTATGTCAATTATGTTCTATCATTATAGATTATGACGAGGATCTATTTTTTACATAGTACTACCATTTTTTTTCTCAGCAATTGAATATATATTTTTTACTTCAGTAAGGTTCACTATCACTTACAAAACCAGGAAAATATTTTTCCTGTGGAACAAACTCATGAGCAGCCACAGTAACTGGAAACCAAATATAGCTTAGTACCTGGTACTAAAAGGGCACTTGATCAGGGAAGAAAAGTGAAAAAAACCCATGACAGCCAAACATCAAGCTGACCATCCCAGACACACTGGAAGAGCTTGAGTCTCATGTAGTGAACAGTGAGTTTCTATAAACACCTTATTTAGCCTGAGTTATGAAACTGGGCCAGTCTAACTAATCCCAATTGTGTGAGAAGAGCAAAGAGCTGGAAGGAATGCTACAGGACTTCAATTACTTGGACCTCAAAGTCCAAGTAGGAAAAAACCAAAACTTAATATAGTAAATTCAGTGGCAGCTTTAGTGTGCAGACAACAGCTTCTTTGTTTAGAGGAACAGAAAGAATCTAGCTATAATATCCTCAGAATAGAAGTATAATATTTAATATTAAAACCATAGTTTAAAACAAAGCTGAAATTCTTTCTCTTTATTTTTGAAAAATACACTGGAGTAATAGCTTAATGTGTCAGCTATTCATAGCATTTTTTTCTTTAAAAAGTGCTTTTAGCCTGGTGGAAAAGTAACTATACATCAACAGATATGAATTTAACTACAATAAAAATGCATAATTAAATTGGCATTGGTGTCAGTGATGGGTCATAATTTTTATTCAAGCTTTAGAATACTAGAGGATCTTGCCATATATTGATGCAATTTTTCTGCATGAAAAATAATTAAGGCACCTAACTGATTACCATGAAATTTGAATATGGCAATAATGTCTCTTATTCAAGCTGTATTTGGTGTAAATAAAGGAAACCTCATGTTCTAATATTTAGATCATCCGTTTCATTCAGAGAATTCAGGTGCAGATAAAATACAGAGAGTAGTAAGAACAAGAGTGAGAATTAGAGAGAAATCAAAAAATAGTCTATCATAAAGTTAGAAGAATACAGATAGAGGGGAAGACTGACAAATCCAACTTCCGATAACATGAATTTCAAACATGAAACATGATGACATGAATTTCAGGGCTGCACAGGAGTAACAATTTTTATATTTTCAAGTCATGTTTCCTTGTAGTTTAATCCAAAAATGGTGATTGAGAACAAAGAGACCTAGAATCTTATCCCATTATATCCACTAACTTGTTATTTTAATATAAACCCCTGCTAATCCTTGAACCTAACTGTACCTCAATCTCCCCCTCTGTAAAGTGTAGAAGTTTGGGTTAGAATCGGTTTCTGGGATGCCTTCCAGCATTAACCTTCTGGGAACCTTCAGTGCATTCCCTTCTGTCGCGTTACAGGTAGCTTTAACTTGTCATGTCACTGGAACACAAACATAGCATGTAGTGAAGTACCCTTTTTTGAAGTCTAAAACCCAGGTGCTTCTACAGTTTCATCCTTAATTGAACTTGATTCTCAAGTTCTTCTTGTCCATTCCCCCCTCCTCACCTTCCTTTTTTTCTAGCAATATCCATTCAGAAGTCCGAAAGGGTTTGAGTTACCTATCCTGAGATCTAATGTCTGGGGAAAAGATTCACAGTACTTTTTGAGGTGTTGTAAAGAATGAGTCATTCATGCACTAGAAATCAAGTTCCATGCCAGGCTGTGTACACCACCTGCACCTCCTGTGAATACTTCAATCTCGCTCTCCTCAGCACCTATTGTGTGAAAATCCAGAGCTGATAATAGTGGTGACAGAACCAAAAGAGTATAAAAATTCCTGATTATCTGCTTGTAAAAACTTAGGAAGTAAGACACAGAGACCACACTTTTGAGCTAAAATGCTAGCGTTTGAAGATACTGATTCTTGTGTAGTCACTATGGAAATGAAAATTGCAGGCAGAAGCCCACGGTTGCAAACTGCATTCCAGTGCAATAGACTCTGGATTGACTTACGTTTTTGGAGATTTGAGGCAACTTTTAAAAAATGAATAAAATATAGGGCATAACAACCTGATCCTTAGACACGGAAGAGGCATTCCAAACCCGGTGTCTACTTAAGCAATATGTTCAAATTTAATAGAAAGAGTAGTCATACTTACCTAGATTTTGACAAAATCTCTCAAACCATTATAGACACAAACACACACACACACATTCACTTACACACACACTCATGCATAGTATACACAAGAATGAAATCTAATAAAATTCTATTTCATTTACTTTCAGAAAGAACTAGTTAATGATTCCTAACTAATTAGAATGGTCAAGGAACTTAAGTTGCAAGAAACCCCCAAGTCAGAGGTGAAGTATTTACTAAAAGTAAAATAAGCTTCATCAGACAGACACCCTTTAAAAAATCAAAAGTCAATTCACTATTGAGGATAATGAAAATTTGGGTAATACAATTTTATCTTGTCTCTTTAAAATACAGTATCATCTAAGGTATGTGTAATAAACTGGTCAGGTTGAGTTTAAATAGTCTTCCACACACCATGTACCTATGCTTTCATTATTTTTTCTAACTGTGATTTTAAGCTAATGAATAAGGATTTAAATATGAAGGGAAATTTTTTTTTCTTCTTGTGTAGGTTATTCTGCTACTATAAAATAAATACTCAGTTTACTAATGAATCTTTATTATCATGTTTTGGAATCCAGTAAACCAATAAAATGTTGTTTGCAATGGTTCCACCCTTTTCAAACTTTATTCTAGTCCCTTATCAAGTATCAACTGAAAATTATTTGCCATTTCTAGTGAATTTCTGAAAGTTTCTGCATTTATACAAAATTCTATTGAAAAAAGCAGTTTAATTATTTGCTTCTAGATTGATTTGCTTAGCTAAAGTTATTGAAGGTAATAATTTCCATTTTTATTAGACTATTTACAATGTTTTGCTTACTAGGTGCTAGCTTAGAATTTTCACTTCTTTAATAACACTTAAAATTTATTAAATGTTCACCATATGGTAGGTACTCTCTCTCCTTTACGTGAATTACGTGAATTATTTCTTTACAAGAAAGTAGGCACTGTTATTTACATGAATTATCTCATTTAATTATCACAACAAACATACGAGGCTAGTTCTGTTATTTTCCTCTTTTAGGGTAAGAAGCCATCTATAGAGGAATTAACATTCCCCTCATGAATGCTGGAGGCAGAAATAAAACCTGGGTTTACCTAACTCCACCAATCCAGTTTTTAAACATTATAAGATGCTAACAGCCATTGTAAGTGCTGCTGTTATAAAAAAAAATATGCTATAAATGGGTTTAGCAATTCTATTAGACTCCAAGGAAACACACAGTATAGTCTCAGGTGAAATATTAAGGGCTTGTTGTCCTTGTTATAGAAAGTTACACTGTGAAGGAAAATGTTGCTTTAGGAATAAACCTATTACCCAACGTCCACATTGGATGTCTCCCAATTTTTAAAAGGATGCGGTATAATCTCTTACAAAACTGCAATTCTAATATGAGATATAAATCTAATTTAACCAAATAATAAATTGATCATTAAAAAGTATAATTAAATATGTTAGTACTTAGGAAATTATAACGTTTGCATTGCTGAAATTGCAGTTTTTTAAAATGTGCAAATAATTTAAGCCATCACAAATATTTTCTCAAAAAGGTAGAATATAAAGCCATAATTTTCTAAAGTAAGCACATTATCAAAAAAATATGGAAAATGTTCTCTCTAGTCTACCGCATCTCCTCTGTAGAGTATTCTAAAGCTAAGAGCTGGGATAAGTTAAATTTAAAAAAATTGAAAAACATCAATTTTAAGCATAAGCTATAATATTTATCTGCAGTGCTATTTTGAAAATGAAATTAATATTTTTTTTCTGACTTATACTTTAAATATACCACTGGAAAGTATGGCCAACAATTGTGCTACTTAGCGAGCAAAACACCATCCAGTGGAATATTTACACTTTCTCCAAAAGGTACTACAAAGAAATGGGGAAGAAAATAGGAAAGTTGTAATACACTGTTATTGTTTTGACTGCTCTTAACAGAGCCAGCCCTGGAAACATTACCTACCCAATAATGTCAAGACACAGGCGAGTATTGCTATCAGGGCTCCCGTACTGAGGCCGGCAGGTAAGACATAGGCCTCCGCATTGCAGGTCTGGGCTATGCCGTCCGCATCACAGTCACAGACACGGATAGTGAGGGTGTTGGTGCTGCTAAGTGAAGGGGATCCACTGTCCACAATGAAAACCGGCAGATAGTAGACTGATTGCTCCTGTCTCCTGAAGCCATTCCTCCTGGTTAGTATTGAGGCTGTGTTGTCTAGGATAAAGAAAGTAAATGTGTAACACAAGATTTCTGATGGAATATGTCTCCCAAACTTTAGTTAAATCACTCTGTTTACTTTGATTCTTTAATTAAGGAAAGCTCTGGAGTGGCAGATCTTTTTTATTCAACAATTCCCTTTGCGTTCCTTTGGACAGAGAGACATATTCCCGGTGTAATACATTTTTAAGATATTTATGTTACTCTACACAGTTATAGCCAAAGAAGTAGTTATAAAGCAAAACCAAATATGAAAATGTTTACGCATCACTTATTGCATTAAAGTGCAACTTTGTAAAAACTACTCTAATAATTAAAAATTTAAAAATAAACATAAAAAATTCAAACCATATACTTATAGAAAGGATGGTAAAAATTAATAGGTTAAATATTTTTGAGGCATCGTCATATAGCACAGACAAAATTTTCAATCATTTCTTTGACAAGTTTCAGGCTTAATATAGAAGCAAGTAAAATAAACCACTTTAGCTTTATTTAAATTGAGTACATAGAAAAGGACATTCAGAAAAGGAATTATTATATAGTTTTAAAAAATTCTATATTAGTATTTATAGTTACTGCATGTATATAAACATTTTGTCAGTGATAAACAAGTCATCTGTGCTTAATTTACATTCAATATTCTATATCATCTAAACAATTATAGCAATTATAAATTTTTAAAAGTGACGACTGTCTTTTTAAAAGTGATGATATATTAATAACTGTGATTTCCATATCAGAAATAGATTTTTTTACCTGTTAGCAATTTTTTTCAACTAACTTGTCTTAATTAACCAATTAGAGAATTTATGGGATTCTTAAAATTTATAGTTATTAATGAAAATATAAAGGAAATGAAGGAAGATCAGGACCATAGTTTCATTCAGTGTGCTTATGTATATATATTCCAAACTGTCAAAAAAGATCTTTATCCAATGATGGCATGAAAGAATTAACAATGCTGTAATGAAAGAGCAAGCTGAAATCTATTCCATCTCAGCATAAAATAGCAAGCTCACATCAGACTGCAGAAAATATATTACATGCAATTATAGATGAGAAAGTATAATAATAAAACTGACTTTCAGATTCCATCTGGTAGGCTTTTATATAAACAAATATTTTATTTTAAAAAATATGAATTTGAGAAGTTACTCACTGTAAAGGCAAGCATGGAATTGTTGAAAAGTATTATCTTGAGCATGTCCCTACACACTTAATAACACACCGATCTATGCCTGTGCCTCCTACCAACTCAGATGTTATATGTGTCTATGATTTGATACAAAAAGTTTTACAAAGTTGTTTATTTGTAATCTAACCTGACTGACATCACAATAACACACACATGCGCACACACACACACACAATGAATTGCAGAGCACAGGCCAAAATGCCCAACATGTGATAAAAAACCCCTACATTCAGAAAAGATATCATAAAATTCATCATGGTCTGTATTTGTGCCCTAAGAAGGAAGACAACATGAGAACTGGCTTTCTCCCTATTGTATGTTTTCCTGCAGGGTACAGGCAGGGGAGCTCTGGGTTGGACATAGACAAATTTTCAGTTGTGTGGCAGTGTGGATGTCCTATAAATGCAGACCTTTTCATATATGTGCAGTACAGCAATCATGGTGGTGTCAGATGATGACACATGGGGGATATATTTACATTCTCCTTGTGAAGGTCATAAATTCCCCTCTCTGCGTCTGTTCAGCATGAATCCAAGTTCTGAGAGCCATCCCTTCCAACTATAAGTAAGTCAGAGTCTGGGGTTACCCACATGGAGAATACGCTTCCTTTTATATTACTAAAGGGACAAGATAGTGTTCCCATTAAGTGGAGAATGAGATCAGGAAAACAATATTATTTTCTTATTGAATTTTTGAGGCCAAAGTGGGATTTTGTGCACTAAATAAGGTGGTGGCCTCAGGCAAAAGTCCTCATAACATTCATCTTTTGAAAGCAAGTCTTTTTAGACAAGCCAGTATTTGACTAGCAAATCTATTTCTATATATTTTTCCCTGAAACCACATTCAGAGAATAAATCTAAGTCAGAAAAAGAGTTACATTTTCCACATTGTAAAGGGAAAATACTATTTTCCCTTTATATCAATTTCAAATGCTCTTCTGCTAAAATAAGTATCTTGAATGAAAACACTTTGAAATATATAAATTCAAAATTAGATAATAGATAGCAAGTTCTCATGCTTTCTTTAAAAGTTTGTATAATTTTCAATATATATTATTAAACAAAACCAGAATCTACTTACAGGTATTTGCAAAAATATTTCTATAATGACACTTAGGAAACTGCTAAGAGTGTTTACCTTTGCAGCAAGAAAATGTGGTTAGGCATTTGGGAGAGTTCTTTTGTTATTTTTTATTTTATATTTCTTAGCATCAAGAAAAGATCATCATTTTATTATTCTTATTTGCATGGATTACTTTAATGATTATGTAAAAACAAAGAATAATGGATATTATTATTGAAAATATTGTCAAAGTTGATTTATGTTAAAATGTGTGAAGTCACTGTATTTTTAATGTTTCAAGTTGTATCTATGTAGTATATCATAGTGCTTATTTAGGCATTTAGCTGACCCTCAACATATTAGATTGTTTGGATAATGAACTTGTTATACAAATGTGGAAGGAAGTGTCTGGAAGAAAAGAAAGAGAGAAATCTAACTTTCCCTTCTATTTGGCTTTAGGCCTAACATGATTTAAGTATCAGCTTCTCCTTCATGACAGTAAATCCATAGATAAAAATTACTTGAGAGGCTCATTGCCCTTTAATTAATGTCCTTGCTATTAAGAAAAAATCCATAATCAGCATTCTTTTTTTTTTTTTTTCTGAGACAGAGTCTCACTCTGTTGCCCAGGCTAGAGTGCTGTGGCATCAGCCTAGCTCACAGCAACCTCAAACTCCTGGGCTTAAGCGATCCTCCTGCCTCAGCCTCCTGGGTAGCTGGGACTACAGGCATGTACCACCATGCCCAATTAATTTTTTCTATTTTTAGTTGTTTGGCTAATTTCTTTCTATTTATAGTAGAGATGGGGTCTCGCTCTTGCTCAGACTGGTTTCGAACTCCTGAGCTCAAGCAATCCTCCCGCCTCAGCCTCCCAGAGTGCTAGGCATAATCAGCATTCTTGAGGGAGAAAAATTACTTGCTTAGAGAGTCCATACCTGCTGCCTCCACCAGAGACAGTAACACCTTACCTTTGTTATCTTTCAATGAAAAGTTGTGATTATTTGATGCATCCGTTGTTAAGCTGAAGTAAAACTGGTGTCCATTGGATGGCTCATCTTTATCAACCGCACTGACTTTCTGGATGACCTAGGGATGAAAAACATAAAACGTGAAAGCCTATTTGTGCACTATGCTAAGTTTTCTGTGGCAAGACAGAGCAATTTTATATGTCTAATAAATACCATCTTCCTGAATGAGCTGGGGGAAAGGATCAGATGTATTAATATGAACCCAATCTAAAAAAGGGCTATGAAAAACAGATCCTGCCCTTTTCAAAGTTCATGTTTGCATTTACTTTTGTGAACCTGAGAAATAAGCTGGACCAATTGATTAGACATCCCAGTAAACATCGCAAGACAATGAATTGAGATTGAACTATGCTTAATTCTTAGAACTTCAAGACATTTAAACCCTGCCTTGTAATGTGGGAAACAGCCCAATCAAGCTTAATATGCTATATTTCACCTTAAAGGAGTCTAAGCCCTTAGCCATTTAACAGGGCTTTTACAATGTTTACCTTTTTTTCCCGAGGAATTTTCATCACCCCAATTAAACCAAAATTTGAAAGTTCCTTTAATATTAGTTCATGCTATACATCAAAGTGTTAGCTTTGCTGAAACAAGCAGGTTATATTTTATATTAAAGCTGGAAGAATTTCAAAGGCAACTGCTGCTGAATATTTGTAAAGAAATCACAAACTAGAAGCAAGGTGTTGTGAAAATTCTTACCTGCCCTGGCTGGGCATTTTCACAGACAGTGGTCTCATAGTCCATGGCAAATTCAGGGGCATTGTCATTAATGTCAAGTATAGTGATGGCCACGTAGCCTCTTCCTACTTGAGATGGATTCTCTAATAAATAAGAAAACATCTTATCATTTTCTCTGATAAACTGTTATTCCACTTCCATTTTAATCCATAAACATATATTAGAAACAATTAGAATCAACCAAAAATGTCTGCCTCTCTAAAGCACAATTCTAATAATACAATGACCAAGCCCCAAATGTAATCTAGAATCTAATGCTGTATTCTTTAAAGGAAGCTACAGATAATTTGATCCAAATATACATACATATTTATGTATATGTATGTATTTGTGTATATATACACATGCACATATATGTATGAATATGAGTACATATATATGTATTTATATGTGTATTTTTTTAGTCTTTGATAAGAAAATTGTTGAAAGAAGAATGAACAGTAAACCATGAATTTCAATATTCTTTGATGCTTGAGCTCATATTTATATGAATGAACATACATTTATATTATAAATAGATGTATAATATTATATATGCATATATATTAAATATATAATATGCATATATGCACATAATTATGCATTCTTTTTTCAACAGTTTTCTTATCAGGGATAAGAATATCAGAATATTCAAATCTGAGTATCTTGGCTGGAAATCAATTTACTATTTATTATAAGCTATTTCACCAATTCCATATCAGCATAAACAAGTTATATGAATTATCACCAGAAAACAACAAGAAGCCCTCTGAAGATAATCCAGGCCCATTATATTTTAGACATCTCTTTTCATTAATTTTGTAAATATTAGCATATAAAAGCAGTGACTATAAATACATGTCAAAGCTTAGACATTTGGGATATTCAAGTTTTTGTTCAATTCAAATAAGCAAATAATAGAATTCAAGTTGAGTTTACAACCTCATGACAACCTGTTCTCCACTCTCACTATCTTCCATCCTAATTCAGTCTGAAACCTCACGACTTACGGCTCTCCATTGCAAGGACTGTGATATTATGAATAGCATTTGTCTCTCGGTCCAAAGACTTGGCAGTTGTAATAACTCCACTGTTGGCATCAATATTGAAGTATCTCTCCAAGTCTGTGTTTCTGTCAATTGAATACCTAATGAAACATTAAAAAAAAGCAACACTTGTGTTGTATTATAATTCGCTAAAATTATTTCATTAATTGCGTAGCCAGTCACACAATCCTGCTGACTTCATGATTTGTCATGTTAGTAACATAAATACATGGTTTATTTGAAACTTTACCCACATAATAGATGGTTTATAACCTGCATGCCACTAATCTGTTTGCTTTTCTGTCAGACAGTACAAAATGAACATCGTAGTATAGTTATCTTCAGTGTCTTTGAACATGTCATTATAGCTAATAGCTTCAAATTCATTAGTATTATTATTGATTATTATTATTATTTTGACTACTGAAAACCATTTACAATAGATTTTGTAGCCCTGTCATTGTTATAGGTCCTTCTAAAATGAAATACACGTAGACATCTTGTTCATTCACATATACTTAGTAACATCTTTTATTTTAATAACGCCAACTGGCTAATAACTACTCCCCCCCGTCCTTTTTTTGAGTATCGCTTCCTCAGGGGCCTTTACCAGGGTTCTAAAGATGTGTTTCAAAGTAGAATCCCTAAAATTACACAAATAGTTTGGCATATAAAAGCATTTTCTCAAAATATCTGTAATCCAAACATCAGTGAAAAATTACTGCTCCACTTGTATTCTTAATTCATACTATTATTTGTCTCCTACAAAATTTATCCTCCCTTCATTAATAATCATCTTCAAATTCACCTCACAGTCTTACTAGTTGGGTGAAAGAAAAGATATCATTTAAAAATAAATCATTAAGCAAACAAAAGAACAAACAGAAATATTAACACATATCTGCTTTGGCATGATAATTAGTAACTGATTCAACTACACCTATGTTCCATCAAACATATTGGCTTCTCCATTATGTTCTCCAGTGATCTGTTCCTCTGCCCCAATTCAGTCAGAGATTCTTATAAACACACCCTTGGTTTGTCAGTTCTCATATACACACTACTGTTGAAAACTATTTTAAGCATCTTATTCTCTGTTCACCATCTCCCACCCCAGCAATTTTTCATCTTGATAAAGACCTACAATCTATTGATGCTAGCAACATCTTCTCAATATCAATTTGGCTTGATAACCTCACATCTCTCATTACTATCACTTCTATGTATATGCATATTGCATTGTAATACCTCCAACTTAATGGCTTAAAAAACAATACTCATTCAATATATTTTATATTTTTTGAAACAGGAATTTGGGGGTACATTTGTAGGGCAGCTTTCACTCCTGACCTCTCAGGAGGTTGCAGTCAGATGTTGACTGGGTCTGCAGTCATTTGATGACTTGACTGAGGTTAGAGGATCCAGTTCCAAAGTACCTTGTTCACATGGATGCCATGTGCATGGCATGGATGACCAGTTGGTGCTGACAAGTTGGCTTCTCTGAGTAACTCTCTCTGAGTGTCCTCATGGCAGAACAGCTAGCTTCCCCCAGAGTGAGTAATTAAAAAATATGTAAGAAGATGAAAGCTACAACACTTTTATGACCTAGCCTTGGAAACAATGCACCAATAATTCATTATATTCTATTGCTCATGTAGGGCACTATGAGCCAACTTGAAAACTGGACAGCCAAAGCTAATAGGCTTTTAAAAAAATTACATTGTACAGAGAGATAATATGCTATACAGTAGCTTCAATATACTTTATCAACAAGAATAAACAATTAGTGTGAACTCATTAATGAGTTTTATGAAGCTGTTCATTGTACCATTTGTGAAACTAAGGTATAGACGTAGAAAGAATGCTCACTAAAGAATCTGTCCAATGTTCATTCCTGATTCAGAGTCTAAAGCAAGGCTATCTAAAGTAATGGCTATCTAAATAATTCTCAAAAGAGATAATTCACAATTTTAAAATTTTATTTTATTATTAATATTAAAATAACAGGAATGTTGATTTTTTTGTACTCTTCTATGAATTTTAATGCACATGTGTGAATTAAACAACCACTACCGAAATCGGAATACAGAACTGTTCTATCACCAGAAAACTTTCTTGTGCTATCTCTGTGTAGTTACAACCTTCACCACCACTAAGCCCTGGCAAACACTGATCTGCTAGCCAATACTATAATTACATCTTTTTGCGAATGTCATCTAAAGGGAACCATACAGAATGTAACTTTTAGGGACTGATTTTTTTTCACTCATTGTAATGAATGAAATTTATTCTGCTTTTGTGCCCATTTTTTTTTAAATGCTCAAATGGATATATGACAGCATGTTTACTCATTCATTCATCTATTAAAAGGTAAATTGGGTTGGTTTCAGTTTTGACAGAGTTACTATAAGCATTCATGTGCAAATTTTATTTCCACACATTTTCTCTTCTTCAGGGTGTGGGATCACTAAGTCACATGGTAAATATGTAAGAAACTGCTGAACTATTTTTCATCATTGCTGCATTCCCACCAGAAATATATGAGAGGTCCAGTTACTCTACAGTCTCCTCAGACTGTGCTTTTAATTTGCATCTTCCTAATAGCAAAAGATGATAACCATACTTTCTTGTGATTATCTGTCACATTCATATGTGTTCAAGAACATTGTCCATTTTTTAATCTAGTTGTTTGTTTCCATCATGTGAAGTTTTGAGAGCTCTATACATGTTTAATACAAGGCCTTTCTTGAATGTGTAACTTGAAATACTTTCCTCAATAGGTAGCTTATCTTTTCATTTTCTTAAGAGTACCTTTCAACAAGCACATGTTTTTAATCTTGATGAAGCCCAATATATCAATTATTTTTCTTTTAAGGATTTTCCTATTGTTTAAGAATTTTTTGCCTAACCCTAGCTTGTGAGTACTTTCTACTATGTTCTTCTCTAAAATATTTATACTACTGCATTTTATATTTAGATAATTATTCCATTTTAAGTTTTGTAGAAGACGGAAGGTGTAGATCAGAGCTCATTTTTTTTTTCATATGATTGTCCAGTTGTTATACCACTTGTTGGAAAACCCATTCGTTTCCATTAAATTGCCTCAACACCTTTGTAAAAACTAAATTGAACATATGTATGTGGTTTCATTTCTAGAGTATTTATTCTGTTCTATTGATTTATATGTGTACTACCCCACTTTGTCAATACCTTACTTAGAACAGGATTACATACATGTACATATATATTACACATATACACATGTTTATGTAGACAACGCATGTATGTAAATATTTACCGTTATGTAAGCTTTATCCAATAACAGAACAATTGATATGAATGTCTGATAAGAGGATTGTAACAATACCCACACACTCATACATCAGTTGAGTCAATACTAAATCCCTGAATTGTTCATTTTGTCAAATCTCTACATTAATAAGTAAGATAATCTTTGCATATTCATGAAAAAGCAGAATCTAGAATCTTTAAAGCAAAAAAGGCTTGAACTTGAAATACATCTGTCTAAATGAGTTCCTGTGATTCCCCACAGAGTTAAGTCAATGACTAAAACACTTGCCTCAATTATCAATAGTCTCAAAGATCTCAGCATTAGAATAAAGGATATTAAAATTGAGAAGTCATTTAATATGTTAAATGTCTTCAACCACTGTTCACCTCATAGAAAAATTACTAATCATTTACGGATCTAGTTATAACTGCAATCTCTCTATGTTTGGAAGAAACATGGGTAACCAAAGTTTCTATAATTCAAATATTTATCATTCCTAAATTATAAATTCTGCAGCTTACACTTATAAATTGTGTGTATTTGTTAATAGCTGTAATCCCCACTTAGATCTCACTAAATAGCACAGCCTCGTGTATACACACACATACACACACGGTTATATATGATTATATATATATGATAATTTGTGATTTATTATGATTTTCTTATGTCTTCCTTTCATTTATATATTCAGCAATTATTCTTGAGCACCTGTAAGTGACACTCTATTTCAGGAAATACATAAACAAATAATTTTTAAAAATAGCAACCTAAATAATAAATATTTAGGAGGAAATTAACAAGTTTCTATGCTAGAGTATAATGAAGGAAGTCAGGGCAAGCATGGAGAGAGAATGAACCATTAGCTTAAGAAGAGATAGGAGACTTTGGCCAGGCCAAGGAGTAGACAGACCATCCTGAACAGTCCCGGTGTTTATTATAATTCTTAATGATAAGGTCTTGGGATCATCCAGTATTAAAGGGGTTACTTATTTTCTATCAGTCCCTCTGGATATACAACAAACTGGAGCTGATATATGAAGCATTAGCTAGTGTTCCCTGAGAAGAACGATTCCTTAGCCAAGAAAATGATCTCTGAATAGTAAGTATTAATACATTAGTCTAACAAAAACAAATTTTATGTTTTCACCATACCTACACATATACCTTCTTTTCTCATTTTTAGTGGCTGAATTAGAGTACTTCTCCCAAAATTGATTTCTGCTACTTTTCAAATTCATCAGTTTTATTGCTAATACTATTTTTCTGTATGTTACTCACTGGCTAAGTTTCTTATAAAAATCAAATAATCACAAATAATTTAGATTTAATATGTAGAAATGTTACGTAGACAGCGAGGGATTCCAGTGGGATGAAAGTGGGTGTTGTTTCCTTGGTGCAATTGCTTCACCTGGGAAGGACAAGGGTGGGCCTCAGGCCCCCATCTCAGTCCTGCCCCACCCTAATCCTCTCCCCAGCAACTGCCATACCTAGGGGAAGAGAAAACACCCTACAAATCTGTCCATCAGAATTTAGGATGCTAATTGCAAAAGAATACAGGGACTCTCTAGCCCATAGGCCAAGCCTCATAGGTACCATAGAGTCTAGAAATTGAACTAGAACAACCTACATGCGTAGTTAAGACTCAGATCATGCAACTCTCAACTGTGCAATCAAAGTGGTTCCATGGTGACATCTGAGCCACAGGGAGGTCCCTATCTGGGCACTGTGAAACAAGACTGAGACCATAACCAACACCCTCTTTTTTGGCCCCTTCCTTTTGCTCTCCCTTTGCTGTGACAATGGATC